GGTTTTCACAGTTTTTCATGGAAATTGCTGGGGAAAACAAAACATCGCTCCAAAAACTGGTCATGCACAAAGTATGCAGCAGGAGCTCAACTAGCGAGACTGCAGCCATGCTTGGTCTTCACTCCGGTAGCAAATGCAGTTTCTGTGGCGAAAATTCTGTCGAAATAGTGGTTTTCACAGTTTTTCATGGAAATTGTGGGAGACAACAAGAGTTTCTTGAAACTGCTCAGGCACAGAAAGAGCCTGCCGGGTCAACCAGCGAGACTACAGTTCCAAGCTTAGTCTTCACTCCGGGAGCAAAGGCATTTTCTGTGGCGACAATTCTGACGAAAAAGAGGTTTTCACAGTTTTTCATGGAAATTGTGGGGGAAAACAAGAGTTTCTTAAAACTGCTCAGGCACAGAAAGAGCCTGCCGGGTCAACCAGCGAGACTACAGTTCCAAGCTTGGTCTTCACTCCGGTAGCAAATGCAGTTTCTGTGGCGAAAATTCTGTCGAAATAGTGGTTTTCACAGTTTTTCATGGAAATTGTGGGAGAAAACAAGAGTTTCTTAAAACTGCTCAGGCACAGAAAGAGCCTGCCGGGTCAACCAGCGAGACTACAGTTCCAAGCTTAGTCTTCACTCCGGGAGCAAAGGCATTTTCTGTGGCGACAATTCTGTCGAAAAAGAGGTTTTCACAGTTTTTCATGGAAATTGTGGGAGAAAACAAAACATCGCTCCAAAAACTGGTCAGACACCGAGAGCTGCAGGAGCTTAACTAGCGAGACAGCAGCCATGCTTGGTCTTCACTCCGGTAGCAAAGGCATTTTCTGTGGCGACAATTCTGTCGAAAAAGAGGTTTTCACAGTTTTTCATGGAAATTGTGGGGGAAAACAAGAGTTTCTTAAAACTGCTCAGGCACAGAAAGAGCCTGCCGGGTCAACCAGCGAGACTACAGTTCCAAGCTTAGTCTTCACTCCGGGAGCAAAGGCATTTTCTGTGGCGACAATTCTGTCGAAAAAGAGGTTTTCACAGTTTTTCATGGAAATTGTGGGGGAAAACAAGAGTTTCTTAAAACTGCTCAGGCACAGAAAGAGCCTGCCGGGTCAACCAGCGAGACTACAGTTCCAAGCTTGGTCTTCACTCCGGTAGCAAATGCAGTTTCTGTGGCGAAAATTCTGTCGAAATAGTGGTTTTCACAGTTTTTCATGGAAATTGTGGGAGAAAACAAGAGTTTCTTAAAACTGCTCAGGCACAGAAAGAGCCTGCCGGGTCAACCAGCGAGACTACAGTTCCAAGCTTAGTCTTCACTCCGGGAGCAAAGGCATTTTCTGTGGCGACAATTCTGTCGAAAAAGAGGTTTTCACATTTTTTCATGGAAATTGTGGGAGAAAACAAAACATCGCTCCAAAAACTGGTCAGACACCGAGAGCTGCAGGAGCTTAACTAGCGAGACAGCAGCCATGCTTGGTCTTCACTCCGGTAGCAAAGGTATTTTCTGTGGAGAAAATTCTGTCGAAAAAGAGGTTTTCACAGTTTTTCATGGAAATTGCTGGGGAAAACAAAACATCGCTCCAAAAACTGGTCATGCACAAAGTATGCAGCAGGAGCTCAACTAGCGAGACTGCAGCCATGCTTGGTCTTCACTCCGGTAGCAAATGCAGTTTCTGTGGCGAAAATTCTGTCGAAATAGTGGTTTTCACAGTTTTTCATGGAAATTGTGGGAGACAACAAGAGTTTCTTGAAACTGCTCAGGCACAGAAAGAGCCTGCCGGGTCAACCAGCGAGACTACAGTTCCAAGCTTAGTCTTCACTCCGGGAGCAAAGGCATTTTCTGTGGCGACAATTCTGACGAAAAAGAGGTTTTCACAGTTTTTCATGGAAATTGTGGGGGAAAACAAGAGTTTCTTAAAACTGCTCAGGCACAGAAAGAGCCTGCCGGGTCAACCAGCGAGACTACAGTTCCAAGCTTGGTCTTCACTCCGGTAGCAAATGCAGTTTCTGTGGCGAAAATTCTGTCGAAATAGTGGTTTTCACAATTTTTCATGGAAATTGTGGGAGAAAACAAGAGTTTCTTAAAACTGCTCAGGCACAGAAAGAGCCTGCCGGGTCAACCAGCGAGACTACAGTTCCAAGCTTAGTCTTCACTCCGGGAGCAAAGGCATTTTCTGTGGCGACAATTCTGTCGAAAAAGAGGTTTTCACAGTTTTTCATGGAAATTGTGGGAGAAAACAAAACATCGCTCCAAAAACTGGTCAGACACCGAGAGCTGCAGGAGCTTAACTAGCGAGACAGCAGCCATGCTTGGTCTTCACTCCGGTAGCAAAGGCATTTTCTGTGGCGACAATTCTGTCGAAAAAGAGGTTTTCACAGTTTTTCATGGAAATTGTGGGGGAAAACAAGAGTTTCTTAAAACTGCTCAGGCACAGAAAGAGCCTGCCGGGTCAACCAGCGAGACTACAGTTCCAAGCTTAGTCTTCACTCCGGGAGCAAAGGCATTTTCTGTGGCGACAATTCTGTCGAAAAAGAGGTTTTCACAGTTTTTCATGGAAATTGTGGGGGAAAACAAGAGTTTCTTAAAACTGCTCAGGCACAGAAAGAGCCTGCCGGGTCAACCAGCGAGACTACAGTTCCAAGCTTGGTCTTCACTCCGGTAGCAAATGCAGTTTCTGTGGCGAAAATTCTGTCGAAATAGTGGTTTTCACAGTTTTTCATGGAAATTGTGGGAGAAAACAAAACATCGCTCCAAAAACTGGTCAGACACCGAGAGCTGCAGGAGCTTAACTAGCGAGACAGCAGCCATGCTTGGTCTTCACTCCGGTAGCAAAGGTATTTTCTGTGGAGAAAATTCTGTCGAAAAAGAGGTTTTCACAGTTTTTCATGGAAATTGCTGGGGAAAACAAAACATCGCTCCAAAAACTGGTCATGCACAAAGTATGCAGCAGGAGCTCAACTAGCGAGACTGCAGCTATGCTTGGTCTTCACTCCGGTAGCAAATGCAGCTTCTGCGGCGAAAATTCTGTCGAAATAGTGGTTTTCACAGTTTTTTGGAAATTGTGGGAAAAAACAAGAGTTTCTTAAAACTGCTCAGGCACAGAAAGAGCCTGCCGGGTCAACCAGCGAGACTACAGTTTCAAGCTTAGTCTTTACTCCGGGAGCAAAGGCATTTTCTGTGGCGACAATTCTGTCGAAAAAGAGGTTTTCATAGTTTTTCATGGAAATTGTTGGGGTTTATTCCAAAAACTGGTCAGCCACAAAGAGCTGCAAGAGCTCAACCAGCGAGACCACGGCTTTCATGCTGGGCCTTCATTGCGGGAGCAAAGGCATTTCTGTGGCGAAAATTCCGTCGAAATGCAGTTTTTCATGGAAATCTTGGGAGAAAACAAAATATCGCTCCAAAAACTGGTCAGTCACAAAGAAGGCTGCAGGAGCCCAACTAGCGAGACTACAGTTACTACGGTTCTCGCCAACGCTAAGACACAGAGTTGCAGAGTTGCTGCGGATCCCTACGACTTTGACCGTGGCGACATTCATACTCTGCCGCAGAGCAAGAATTCGAAAAGTTGCAGAGCTTCACCCCAGGGCGTTAATTTCCTAAGTTTCCAAACGTATATCTTGCTTGTGGTCAAATGTTATGGCCTCGCGCTTGCGCGATGACATGTCCGAGGGGACCCACTCTTGCACGCACTAAAATCCCAATCCAAGTCCCCTTTTGTCCGCAAACTGCCTCTAGTCCAAAGCTACAAAATCTTGAGCATTTACACATTTCAAATTTGTTTGTGATAGTACTCAGTTTTCTGCTCAAGAAACTTTTTACGCGCTATATACAGGGTGTCTCAAAAGTGAGTACACACTTTTTGATTTTTCTGATTACAGTATGGAGCGATTCACCATGATCTGGGGCAATATGAAGCCACTGGCTCAAAAGCGTCTTCGAAGTTCCTATTTCAATCCCACGGTAATGGAAAGAGTTGAGTAATTCGTCTGCGTACTGTAAATCTAAGTTGAAGCCTCCTCTACTGAATGGTACTAAAGCTGAGAAAAAGCCTCTATGGGAAAATAATTATTAACAACCAAAAAGTGTGTACTTACTTATGAAACACCTGTATGAGTCACATATACTAGTTTTCAAGTATGTTGGAGCAGGCAAATTTTACCAGCACCCAATGCATTCTCAGCATCGTCGTACATCAGTTTGTTATTGCTTTTACCACTGGACTAAAGTGCAAGTGACTTCACAGCTCCGTACGTTGCCTTTGCATTGAAAACTCGTTCACTCTAAACCGACACAGGATCTCCAAAAGCATGCAGGCACTACTTAATCGTTAATATCTCTCTTTCTAAGAAGTAGTTTGCTTTCAATTATCATTTTGTTGAGCAGGCTCCAACTGGAATTTCGGAGCGAATCTCCAATCGTATTACTAGAGATTACGATAACTTCCAGCATAAAGCCTCACTGCGAAAACATAAAACCGAAAGAATCTGAAAGTGCCTGCAACAATGTTTTAGAAGACCCGGATTTCAAGACTTAACTTTGCACAAGACTGTGAAGCTTTCTATCCGCGTAATTACATTTTTTAGAAGTAACGAAAAAACACGTTACCCACACTTGGAATTTTTGACGAAACGGAAAATGCAAATTTTATAATCAGAATCAGCAACTCTGTTTAGCCTAGCGCAACAATTTTCAGGGCACTTTGGTCTCCTTTTTGAAGCAAAATAAGGCTATTAATGGCTCAAAAACCTCTCGAAGTTCTTACTACCAATCTCCTTGAGATCACTTTTGAAATGTGGCGGTTGCAGATTTTTTGTTACAGCAACTCTGAGTGATACGTTACAACAAGATCCAAATATGCTACTTCTATGGACGTGACTTCATAGTAAATCCTTCTCTGACTCTATTCGGTTCGAGTCCAAAGTTTGTCTTGTTCCTCAAACTAGTCAAAGAGTAAAGTTTATTCGCGTATTACAAGCAACACCGACCAATAAATGAGTTGTTGAATTGAAAATAACTTTGCGATTAGCATCTTCCGCATGCTTTTCCGCAATACTTAATTTTGTAGTCATCGGGATAGTCCGCATTAGTGCAGAAACCATTCCGTACCCATTTATCACATCTGAAAATTTATATTAGACAATTATAACTGATTAGATGTTCATAATTAATGTTTTGAGTGCTTGCCTCGTGTCCGTTCCGCAAACGGGAGTAGTGGTAGGTTCTAAATTATTAAAGATAGGTTATCGATATATACAGAGTATAGCAAAAATTGCGCAAACTCTTTGATCGTTAATGTATCCCTTACACCATAATCTTTCGCCTTAGCTACCACTGCGTAAAACTGGAATTCAAGTTTAAGGCCCCGGTCAGACTTCACGCGACTTAGTCGTCGCGACCAAATCGCCAAGATTTCCATTCATTTTCATTTCACATTCAAAAATTTCGGTCTGGAAAAGTATCACAACCGAATGCAAGTTGATCTGCATGGAATGATGTTGTAACAGTTGTCTCCTCGCGATTCAGTCGCGACGATCAAATCGCGTGAAGTCTGCCCGGGGCCTAAAGAATTCATTTATTCCCTTGGCTTTGAAATGGCGGTAAGTTTTCTTATTGTTAATCAGGCCGTTTGAGCTGATAGTTGAGAAATGTGTAGCAACGCTCTAGCTGATTTCACTGCCTTTTTTTCTGGGCTTTTTAGATACAGTCGTATTTAGAGAATTTGGAGAAGACTTGTTACAGTAGCAAGGCATGAATATCATTACCGTAAAGTGCACATTTCATAATCTAAGTAAGGAACATGAATAGATAATGCAAGTTGGCTTGTTGCCTCAGTAACAAACGAGACTGAACTTCACCCTGTGCAGTCTAAGTTGAAGCCAAATTTGCAAAAAAGTATCTGATTGCTACAAGACCTTAGAGCAAAGAAGCTATCGACGATTAAACAGTGGGCACAATTTGTGTGCACACTCTATACTTGATGAGGGTGTGCGATACCGAAGCCTAGCGGTTATCGTTGCTGGTGGCGAATCTTGCATTGAATTCTAAGATCGACAATATGTGTTTTTGTTAAGACTCTGCAGATCTATGCGCTTCTGATCAGAGTTAGAAGTAGAGGTTACAAATACTCTTGCTACAAGCAGCTGAATGGGAATTGACATTTAATGTAGATAACAAGAAGAGTCACTTAACTTAAATCGGCCTTTTGAAATGAGGCACATACATTTAGAATCAGCTCGGAACAGTAATTCCAAATATGCTGTCCTTAGCTGCGAAGCATTCATCTGAAGCAAGTTACGAGGTCCTTTTCGTGACTCGCTTCGAAGTAATGACACAACTGTTAAGATTAATCACCGGAAAGTCAATTAGCGAACCAAAAAAGAGCAGCTAATTGATATGTAGGCCACAGTCTCACTGTTTGCATGATAATATCACCGATAATCTGCTTTTAAACATTATTAAGAAGAGGCAAAAGGGAAAAGCGTTCGCTGGAGTCGATCCCCTCACCTTCAGACTATGAAGCTAGACACTTGCCACTTCAACTAGCACACTATGAGTTATTGCTAGCCTTTCACCTAGAACTACCGGCGGACGCCATAAGTCACTGTAGGACTGTTCCATGACTACAATCATCAGTCATTTCTACATTTCCAAAAAGTAATGATCCTAATTTGCTTGAATTAGCTCCAATCTCGGTATTGCCTTCTTCACCTAACTTTTGGATCTCCGTCATTGAGTAACGAAAAAATCCTCGTGACTCGCTTTAGACGAATGCTTCGCAGCTAAGGACGGCATATCTCAAATCAGCGTTCCGAGCTGATTTCAAATATATGTCTCATTTCAAGATGCCAACTTAAGTTGAGTGACTTCCCTTGTTAGAAGTTTTCATTTGCAAAATCATAGACAATATTTTTGAGGAGTTATGTCACTGATGTCTAGTAAGTGCTTTTTCAGAAATGGCTATCGTTTACTTGCAGTGGGCTTTAGTTCCCATAATCTCCAAATTCAAGATAGCTAGTCACCTTCATTACTGTGTCATACAATCACCCAATATTGGATTCAAAAGCCAGATGATTTTCTTTAGACCTTACTTTGAACGGACATCTTTGATATGAGCTTAAAGTAAAATTACCTGTTTTCGCTGGCGCTGTGGTCTCCTCAGTCTTTTGTGCCGGTGCAGTAGTAGCAGCTGCTGTTGTTTCTTCCTCACAAAAATCACAGGTCTTTTTGCAGTTTACCTAGAAGTGCATATAAATGACATACTCAGAAGAGCAGGCTCACGAAACCTCCTCGACTTATCTCTGATAGTTTCGCAAATTGTTTATTTGCCCAAACTAAATCAATTAAACGCGAGTTGGAGCATAATTTCTGTTTCTACAACAGGCATGAATTGAGGGCTCACGAAAAAAACCCGCTTAATAAGCTTTTTATGATAGTACAATGTGCAATTCGCTGTAATCTTGGAACAAAAAATTAACGTACCACTTCCGAAGCAAAAAAGGAGGGTTTATCAAATTGGATTTAGATGGTATTTTTGAAGTTTGTCGACGCGATATACGCATTACACAGAGCTAGAAAATGTATTGCATAGCATACGTCGTTTGCAATCAGTCTCTATCACAGTCGAGCAAGCTGTAAAATGGAAAAATAAGCAGAATACTACACTTAAGTCACCATTTTCAGGAGAATTCAAGTCACTGCTATTTATTTCTGCCAATAAGTAACCAGCTCTCCAGCCTTAAGCAAGAACACAACGGCTTTTCTCCAATCTTGGCTTTTGAAACAGGAGTTTCATAAACTACCAATAGCATGTGTCATATGATTTGCCATGGTAAAATTGCTGCTTTCTTGAGATGGTCTTAAATGCTCTTAGCTTGCTTTATCCTATTAAAAGCATCTTATGGCTCATTTGATAAACAAGAAATTGACATATTGAGGTTAGAGTCAAAACGGACAGACTTGTGGAAGAGCATAGTATAGTGATAAGAACCAAGGAAATGCGAGTACATCAGCCACTTAATGATGCTTTCATACCAAGCTTACTCGATTTTAGAATATCCCTATTGCGTGTTTCAAATGGTTATTATACGTTCTTGCTGTGAACAATTGAGTTGACCTACCTTCATTGCTGGTTGGAAATCTGTGTTTTTACACTGACTCTTGTCGCAATTTGGCTCTCTATCTTGACAGTCTAGAAACAAGTAAGTGAAGCCGAAAATGAAGAAAAAAGAAATACAAACACTTCTTTTCATGCCACGACAAAATATGGAGACAGTCGAATCGTCATCGCTTTATTGCTGTTGTTTGTGTGCCACGTATCCTAATATTTCGTATGTGGGCCATATCACAAGAATTTACCGAGCCATAGCACGAAAAAGGTTTAGATGGGCTGCGATAAGAGCAGGAGGGGATAGGAATGAGTTTTAAGATTGTGTCAGTAATTTTGTCAGTTTCCACGAAAACCAAATCGATTGAAATCAATGAAGTGACTCGAACGTTTGCTTACCCATTTTCAATGATTTTGCTCAGCGAGAATCCTAGCTCATTCTTGAAATTTTTTTTCTTTTTTTCCAAAGTCACCTTAGATTTTCTGTCTAAGTTCCGTCAAAATTCCAGAATTTCTAAGATCTTTAGCAACTGCACTCTAAAATTCACATATATTAAGGCGCCGCTATAAAGTGTTTGAGCATTGAGACGACGAGTCTTCATTTGGATAAGCTAGGTAGTGCGGTGCTTCCGTTCAGTCATTCTTTGAGGTGCAGATTGATTTTACTCATAGAGTCACATTGAAAGCTTCGAAGCACAGAAAGTGAAGACTGTGATGTATTTTGCAACCTCAGTCTTCCTTCAAGTAAGTCATCAAAAATCACCTCCGTTCCTCTCTTCGCACAGGCCACACGTTTTTGGACAGTTGTCTACCAAATTCAACTGCGACTTCCACGGATCCTTGCACTGATTCTGTTTCTTCACCTTATCGCAATCGAAATCTATACAATACATACTTGTATAGTGCCGTGTATTAGACCTGCTAATCTTGGTTCTGAACTCTTCGTTCATAAACTAAAATCACTTTGGCTCAGTTTCTAAGTTTTTCTGAGTTTCGTTTCGTCATCACATAGGACCGGTACTCGTTCTTTGGAGAAAATTATGCGAACTGTTTACTAGAAGCAAAATTCTAGCGAGCAATCTATTTTGAAACGCTTGCAAATCTTTCCAAACTTACACATTATAAGTTCTGTTAATCGGGACGTTTGGGAACATTTCGGTTTATGTGGATAAAGCCACAATCTTCCAAAGAAGAAGCAAACCATGAGTACTGTTTCTTTGATGACCGACTCAGCTCTTATGAAAAAAGAATTGAATTCTTGTAGTTTGAGAAGTCTGAGCACCAAATTCTGTATAGTGCAAGTCGATTAGAACAATTGAATATTCTTTGAGGAGTACAACTATTTTGAAAATGTGATCATATCGTCAGCTTACCTTCATTATCATTACAGTCGAACTTGGCTGTTAAGCAGCACAGACCACAAGTTTTCGGGCATATTTTCGTAGCGACACTGACTATTGTCTCATTTGTAGCAGAAGAGTCCTAAAACATGTGCTTGTTGTTTGACTATGAATTCCTGAGGATAAATGCTGTTTTATGCAGGAACTCGGCCCTGAGAGGTTCATAAAACTGCTGAATCTAATCAGTTTTGTGAAACCATTATTTTGGTCAAAACTGCAGCGAAATCAACTTTATGATAGGGTCACTTCACTATATGAAATCTTTACTCGAAAATTTCAGAAAAACCTCAGTGTTGATACTAGCATAGGCGGAACCCATTCAGTAAAAGTTTCAAGGTTGCTCTGCTCATGTAAGAGCTAAATTTAGGTCAACGTAGTTCATCTTTTTTTTCAAAAAGTTTTTGAGTTCCTGATTAGTTAAAAGCTTTTAGATTGAATCTTTCGCGATTTTTGAGAAAAGAACTCAGATTTTTGCAGGTTTTATATGTGAAATCACTTGATGAATTCAGGTTGCGTTGAAACTCTCGACTCACCTTATAGCATTTAATAGGCCTATCACTGGTCCCACTCACAGTAGGTTTTGTTTCACCTGAAGCTACGAAAAGTTCTTCGCAAGTTGGAATTTGATCGTCGCAGTCGAGTGCCTCCGCTGCGTACTGAAAAATGTGCCTTACAAACATGTCACACAAAGGCATTTCACAGTCGTTTGTCTCGCAACGTCTCACGACGACTTTGGTAAATCCACATTTCTTCATCTTTTTGTTCTGAAAACTTTCCAAGCTAGTAGAAGCACTAAGTTGTTCATCAGATGCAAATGGGCACAGTCAACCATCGAAGTTTTTCAGCAAACGTCAAGGCACATCAGATACCGAAACGCTTTGAATTACTTATGTGCATTAAGATCCGTAGTACTTAAAGTCTATATTCAAACATTACGGTGATACAGAAATAATAATCACCACTCAAAAAATAAATCAAGTTTTCCCATAAACCTATTTGGGAGTCCAAGTTTTGGCAGATGTTAATACATAGCGAAATTTTTTTAAACAAGGCTTATAGATGGGCACTTTCACATGGCGTTATTTTTTAAGCGCTTGAAATCAAAGCTTATCATTATAAGTAATAATGAGCTTTGAGCAGCACAGCTGCAGTAAAACAAGTGAGCCTTCCAAAAATATCTGCCAGCAAAAGGTGAGGAGGCTGTCACCAAATCCACTATGGCCTGGTGGTCCGAACGCTTTAGAACAGAAGATATAGCACTAATATTGGGAGACATTTTATTTATTTCATCACGGTGATCAAATGAGCTCACCCTTGACAGTTGGTTGTTATCTGAAAGAGCTTTCTACGCTCTTTCCACACACATATGCAATTCAAGTCGACTTTTCTCATTTAAAAAAAAGCCAAAACATGATTTTTAACCTAATAATCTACGCGTATCATCGCATTTTTCTCAAATAAATTACCTTAGACCAAATAATGGGGATTTTTGGTACATTCAAATAATTGTTAGAAAGAGCTTGGAAAGCTCTTTTTATTAGTATGTCATATGTCTAGGGACTCTGGGGTACAGCAGTACAAATTTGGATGGCGTTCAAAAAAGTCTGCATGATTCTTCGAAGCGCCACTCGAATGATTGTGGGTGGGGTGCTGCAAGGTGCTGTCAAAATAACCTGCGAAGGTTACTTTATACGAAATCGCTAAAGCTACTTGCTGTTCGTGGTTAATCAGAAAACAATTGAAAAGTGTTAAAAGAATTAAGGGCCTCATCACTTTTGGATCACCCTATAAAAAAGCTTATATCTGAGCATTTCTTTGAAATGTAGTCTCGTGAGGACCTTCGCAAATTTAGTGTCTTTCTTATCATTGGTACCATTGCAACTTAATGGCAAGACAACAAGAATGAGGGTAAGCTTTGAACTCTTCGAAATACATACAGCTGTATTTGCACTGTCCAAGCACTTTTGGTACGTAATAGCGGCGGGAGCTTTGGAGCACAAAGCAGCAAGAACAAGTATTTGCAGCATCATCTTCAAAAACCCACAGAATCGCCAACACCAGTTCTGAAACAAATTGTATTAATGCACTGTAAGAAGCGAAAAGGGAAAGAGCTTCAATGAGGGCTTCTTCTCCAGACCCTTATATATTGCTCTTCCTTTTATACAGACATAATGTTCCGAAAAAACCTTCTTTGTGTAGCTGTTTGCACGAAGTTTTTTCATTATCTTTCGCCGGTCGTCCACGTGTCGCTTGATCACATCCTGAAGCTTTGCAAGAACGTTCTGCTTTCAATGCTGAATGCTAAGAATTCACAGCATATATCTGCCCTTGCGACTGCAGGCTAATAAAAGGTGCCAACAAAACGTTTGTTATAGTGTGAGTGCTTAAGAGAAAAATTCTAGAGCTTCAAAAGTGGTTGTGTGCTCCGCCAAACATCTAATAAACTTTGAAATTCCATGAACAACGCGCTTTGGATAAAACTGTCTTTAGTTTTGCATCCGCATTCAAAGTGACTGACAATTGCGCAAGTAAGTCGAGTATCGTATTTTTTACAAAGTACAAAATGTGCTCCGTAAAAAATACAATACAAGATTAGGATTGAAGTACTGAGATAAAGCAACGCAGTACTAAACAGCCCAGAAGAGAGATTAGGCTGTGCTCATATAAAGTGTCCCAGGTACGTCTGAGCTTGAAAAGTTTGGATTTACTGTTCCAATTTTATCGTCGTTTTGAGATTACTTCCAAAAGCAATTCCGTTTCAAGTTTCATTTATCGGTACATCACATTGAAACCAACACAAGTATCGTCTATTCCCCACAGTATAGCAGGTAGAGCTTTGCCGACGTTTCCCAACGTATCCGCGCGGCAGTTTTTGATATCGAGAGAGTGCAAAAACTAATGCTTTGAAATGGAGGTTTAACAAGTTTTCCAACATGTTAAAATGCTGCAGGGCCATGCCCGCTATACGCAGGAAAATCGCCTATATCTTACCATTGCAATGCATCCAAAGAATGTCAATTTTTGATAATATGCCCATGTCAATAAATAGGACGTGAATACTGAAAAACTTGAAGTCTCAAACGGAGTAGGTTTTCTCAAGCCTGAAGAAACCAACAGGCATATAAACTTCATTATGAAATAGCTGCCAACATGATCGTAACCGCGCTAATCTTGACATTGCTTTTGGGCAATATTTGTTATGAATTTTCGTCTGAATAATCTTGTGTTGGGAAACGTACTTGGTATACACACTTTGGGAAGCGATTACCATCACTTTGTGCAGTACCTACTGCTGGTGATTGTAATTCTATCAGTAGTATAACTTATAACAATACGTTACCATGCATTACAAAAGTCTTCACACTCTCTCACTTTTGCTAGTCATTCATACGGAATACCCCAGGTTGAGTTGCTTCAAGCTTTCCTTTTCATTATCTCAACCCCATCCGGAAGCTTTTGATTATCAATATTGGAGTAACCAGAAACAGAAAACCTTCGCTGTAGCCTCAGAGTTTTCCCATTTTCCCACCCAGTGCTGTACCGGCGCTGTATTTATACAATTCTGATTGCAACATAATCCCAATCCATCGTAAGTGTATATATTGTCTGGTGCATTTTCTGGCGCAATCACTTAACCGTGCTAAAAATTAAACAAACCATAACAAAGCCACCTGGTCAAGCAAATTATGTATTATTACTTAAAATGCTGTCCAGTTCTATATCATCTTTAAATATGCCTGTGCTACGCTCCTTCTATCTCTCGATTAAATTACAGCGATTAAACAAGAAAATTTTGTGCAGTGCATGCTTTCCACTTGCGTTACTACCCACGATGAGTAATTCATCAGTAGTCGTCTTTTGATGTTTCCAAGTCATTGTAATCTGTTTGTAATGCCCATTTTTCATCTTTTATATGGAAATGCAGTGATTCAAAGAATATTAATAACTGTGTCCGGCACAGTGTCCTGTAACATCATTTGCCTTATTTCCTACTAAATGGTCGCCATGTTACATGCTTTAAAAGCGGGTTTCACTGCTGTCTCGAATTCTCGCACTTGTTCAAAAGCTTCATACCATGCCGCAGGAGGCAGCAGCCTGCCGCGTGCGCAGTGTACGCCGCAGCACGCAGCGCTGCAGTCGCGACGAGAATACGCCTATGGCAGCACACTGTCTATCACTGTATTTCTATATCCGGTACTCCATGTGTTTTCCGAGTGTTCATAGCGAGATTATGCCACCATGGGCGTACTTTTACTGCGAGCACAGCGTAAGCTGCGTTCTGCGGCGTACGCGGCGCATGCGGCGGGCTGCTGCGTCCTGAGGCGTAGTATGAAGGAACCGTTACCCTCAAGGTAGTGTTGTGTGTATCTGGTTGGCCTTGCGAGGAAAGAATACCAAGCTGCGCTGGCAAGTTGTTCACGGATGTATAATTCGACTGGCTCTCAATATACCGAAATACTTATTCTAAGTCTGCTTTCTCTGGTGGCATAATAATCCAACTCAGGCACGGCGCAGATCGTATGTAAGCAGGCTGGACGTCGTTTTGGTGCGAAAAAGCAAAGAAGATATCGTTTTTGTAAACGAGAATTAACGTTTTTTTAGTCTTTTAGTCTAGTTTTTAGTTTTTTAGTTTCGTTTTTGAGAGTTTTTACGTTTAGCGCTGAAGGTCAAAGGAAACTTCGTTTTCAAGAAGCCTAGAAAAGAACCTATGCTGGGCCCTGATTTCAACCAGAAGTTCGAAAACACACTTTTGGTGGTGCGCGGATGAACCAATTCCTTACGCACACACGTCAGAGTGAGATCCAATAAGTCTACTCAAACAGCGCCCTAGATATTTTGAGAGCGCGGTTTTTCAACTAGGAAGATAAATCAAAATTCAACGCTTTAAATGAACGCGCTTCTCCCCAACTAACGGGGTATATGTCAGTAGTTTTTCTTGAATTCAAAGCTTTTTTTCAACATATGTGTTCAGAAGATGTGACAGAGTTATAGCCAGGAACGTTTTTGGCATATAGTTCATTTTGCTGCTGTAACTTAACTCAACAAATGCCGGTACAAGAACCACTGAGCAGAGGTGCACGACATGCTTCAAGTTAATAGCTCAACATTTTGAAATCTTACCGTTGGTAAGCGCGAAAACACTTGAAAAACTTATATGCAGGTATTACGAAACCTTGGATACACATCGCTTTTTGCTTGCAAGATACATATTGTTCGCAGCATACTGGAACAGTACTATGTTCGTTCTTAGAACTCCAACCAGTTTTTCCATTTCGCATGATCGGATCTTCTCGTTTGATTATTCAGACATTGCACAGATATAATGGCATTGTTTGTGCGAATATTATGGATAGTTTGATTATTCAGGCATTGAACAGATATTATGGCAATGTTTGTGCAAAAATTATGGATAGGATTCTGCCTCTACAAGGGCGGTGCATAGGCAAAATAATCGCCATTTTTCTCTTAAGTGGTGAGCGCTCAAACATTAACTTTTGGAATATAGAAGTTATAAGTTGCCGACAGTCTCAGCTTTCCAGGGGTGGGAGGGGGGCAACAGAAATTTCTTTGAACCAAAGTGCGTAGATTAGCCACGCAAGCACTTCGATGTTCTGCAAATCTGTATGCTTCGTTTTCTGCTTCTCAGTTGCTCTACATCGGAATCAGAACAATCGATGACGGCACAATGCCATGCTTAGTTTTCCATGGTTTTGATTTTCAAAGGACTACTCCCTCTGTTGAATTTACATTTTCTTGGTTCCCCTGAAAGATACCAGAGCACTATTCGAACCAATAAATTTCGATGAGCAAAGCAAAGCATTGAAATTGATGATGTTTAAATTTTACTTTTACGGATATAGAATTGAAATGAATAGAAAACAACGGACACAGTCCCAAACGCCAAATTAAAATTCATCCATTACTGCTCTACTTTCTTTCCTCAGCTGAGATGTGTGCGAGCAAATTAGGCCTATGTAATGCATTCTTTCCGTCATTTTTTTTTTGAATGCGACGCACTCCTTCCCTTGCATATTAGGTGAGACAAACATAAACATAAAACACAAAACATGTGGAAATCGCAAAATATGTCTTTCCAATGTTCTAAATAGATTATGGAATTCGCTTGACTGAGCAAAGCAAACTCTACAAGATAATGTTTGAAAATTTGCGTTAACTTTGAGATCCAGTTGAAAAAAAAACTGAAAACATCCAGCTGCCTGCAGAATCGAGAAGAAGATCCAGCTTGCTAACGCATGATCTTGTCAAGCAGTCATTCGTACAGTTCGGTATTTTCTGGCTAGAAATTTAGAATGAATTTTCACGCTTTTTCCAAACATTGCTGGTATTAAGGTGTTTTTGCAGTTCTCGTTATATACTACAAAGATTCAGTAGTACGGCCGTAAAGGTTCTGGCCTTTTGCAGCAGCTGGCTGCGAAAAAATATCAAAAGCTTGAATCCCCGAAAAAGTAGAGCTAGCTTGAGACGTTTATTTATCGAAGCTAGCTGTTGAAGAAGGCTAAAAATTCAAGCTTAGTACTTGTGAAGCATTGTTGTGTGCAATTATTGGTGTGGACAGAGCCCAGCATCGATTGGCGAAAGTAAGGAAATTTCCCGTATCTTCGTTTTCAGAGGTAAGTGAACATAAGCATGTCTGATGCATAGATCATATCTTCTGGACAAGTTGCTATCACTACCGCTACCGCATCGGAATACGCTCGCCCGAGTCCGCCCTCGCGGCAATCGGGGAGCCGATGGTATATTGTGTTACATTGCCGCACTACCCAAACTCACAGAAGTCGCCAGCAAAGTGCCAGTACCTCAACGTGTCCCTACCACGTCAAGATGCCGGCACCTTGCTCTCTCAGAAGAGCACGCTATTTCCAGTGTTCCCCAACGTGCCAGCAGCTGCCACCTCGCAAATTGCTTCGGCAAGTTGCTGGCAACTGAGCTCGCGAAGTTGCGGCAGCTCCACCTGCGCTTCCCAATATTTTCCTACAGGGGGATTCCTGGAACTTCAAATTTCGACTATAGAGTCTCGGTGGAACCTTCATCCACGAAGTTTTTTGAAAAACAGATTTGG